CTAACTAAGTCGGGAGTGTTTGTGGGCCACACAGAGCTCATATTTGACATCGTCCCAAATTACTGTAATCATTATATGCTACGCAAGTCTTTTTTATGCCACGCAAGTCTACAGTGTGCGTGTGAGACAGTGTGTTCTTCTGTTGTCTTTAACAGCTTTTAGGTGCGTTACTGGCAGCGCCACATGATTACCAAACATGGGAAAAATGTTTAAGACAATAATCATACACAACCTATTCGATATTCTAGAATTAAATCAACTAATCGAATATTCGAAAATCGTGACCCATCCCTAATATATATATATATATATATAATCTTACTATTTAAGACTAGAGATGTAAATGTTTACATTATAAGTTATAAATTATAATAAAATTAATAATACATTATAAAAATAATACAATGAAATACTGTACAAGTTTCAAATTTTAACAGCCAAATAATATCAAATTCAGTAAATACATTACAAATTAGTGTTAAATATATTTTATTCATATCTTAAACTAACATGTGAACTTAATGTTGTTGACAACATATAAAATACATTTTGAAGTTTTTTTTCTCTTAGTTTTTTTTTTGCAGACCCTCAAACACCCCAGTTTGAACCCTTTGCTCTAAAACATTAGAAACATTGAGCGTTTTTACTATGAACTGCATGACAACATTTAAAATGAAATAGGTGGAATTTTATCATTTTATTTTCAACCATTTTATTTCATTAGTTTATTTTATTTTAAGCATCTTATTTTCAATCATTTTTTTCCTTATTTTATAATAAAATGGAAATTAAAATATTAAATGCAATCATTTTAATCTTGCATTTATTTGACTGTCCGTAAGAGTACTGTATACTGTATATGTGCATTTGTGTACTTACCTCACAGTAAAATCTGTCTCCTCCCACTGAAGCTTAGCCAGGGGGCCTCCCTCTTTCAAGACCCCGAGCAGGGTCGCCCGTCGACCACTGGGTTTGTGCAGGCAGGTCCCTCCAGCGATACATGTCCCTTCATTTCCCCTGTTCTCCTTAGTAATATAAAACTAAGATATGGAGACAAAAAACATTAGAATGCAGACCCTGTAAAAGACCAGGGATACCAGTGACTGTATTTTGTATCATTACCTTCCAGATGAAGCATCCAGATGTGATGGCGGTGGTGGCCAAACCGTACCCTTTTCCTCCCGATCCATGAGAGAGTACATTCCCGCTCTCCAGAGAACAACAGATCAGTTTATGTGGGTCAAAAGAGAAATCACCAATAGGAATACATTCATCTTCACTTCCACTGTCCTGAAAGACACATAAGCACACATAAAACATGCATCTAAAATGCATAGACAAATACAATTGGGTAAAATTTGTACAATGGACAGACAGAGATGAGTTTAAATACCCTATTTGAGTTCTCTGAAGTTCTCTCTTTTTCTAAGTTTTTTCTCAGGGCCAGAGGTTCTTCCCACATGTATGTGGACAAAAGGCTAAATAATTGATCGACAATCTGAAATAAAACAAAAATTACAGGGTTAACGCTTATTAAGTCAGAATCAATCAACCATCAATCATTTAGTGTCAGGTGAACAGCATTAAAAAGAAAAAAAAAACACTTATTTTCTCACTTGTTTCATGACAACAGGGTCTGAACAGGCAGGAAGAAGAGCTTCCAGAATATGGAAGGCCAGCAGCTTCGTCCGCAGGTTGTGAAAGCGTGAATTTCCAGAGCTGCATTTGTATGATATAATTGTCATCAGTGGATCAATCCACTTGACAAATGCTGAGACTCTTTTGGCGACCCTTAGTGACAAAATGCGTCTTAGGAAGACTAGAAAGTCAGCGAGCTGGGACTCCACAACCCTGCTGCTACGAACTACATCTGCACCTAAAATAAAACAAAAAAAGTATAATATAAAATTATTCAGAATAGAATAGAATAGAATTCATAATATAACAGTAAACAGTAAAAAAAAAAAACTAACATTTTGAAATATTACTACCATTTAAAATAACTGTTTTCTATTTGAATATATTTTAAAATGTAATTAATTCCTGTAATGACAAAGCTGAATTTTCATCAGCCATTATTCTAGACTTCCATGTCACATGATCCTTCAGAAATGATTCTAATATTCAAAATTTTGAACAGTAGTGTACATGTATACAGGGCTCGATAATAAGGACTGCCTAAAGGCCTGGGGCAAGCATGAAAGACGCTCGGTACAGTTGACAGATTTGTCACTGGCTCAATCGGGCCACTGCTGTGTCTTCACGAAAGTTTATCATTTGCATGTGTTTTTAAGCCTTGCCAATTTAAACATTCAAGTGATTATTTATTTGAATTCGCTGTTCTGTGTGCACACAGAGAACAGCATCTCAGACAAGGCACAAACACCGAATTGAGTTGTCTTTCGCGTCTTGCTTTAACGGACAAATACACCTTGCCAATTTGAACAGTCAAAAGATTTTAAAGTTGGTTATGTCTTTAAGTGAACTTAAAAAGTTGAGAAAGAAACCGGATGTGTATCACTGTATTCATGCATTGTCTCTTAAAGTGACCGCACTTAATTTACCAGTTGCTGTCGGTGTCCTTAATATTAATCCCCCCCTCCCAAAAAAGAAAAAAGAAAATCACTCACTGCTCTTGACTAAATAACTTTTGTAGCTTTAACAAGGATTGATCTTGTTAAAAATATAAGATCTATTTAATTTATACAGTGAAGAATATGCAAAGTTTACATTTGATTATTAGATTCTGTACCTGAACACATACCTAAAAACCTAATGCCTAGTTTACACTACAGGATTTTAAGCCTGATTTAAGTCCGATTTGCAAGATAACGAGCTCGCCGACAGGTCGGGCAGTGATCGGCGGTAAATCAATGAGGTGATCGGCGCTCGGCAATCTTTATGTGTGAACTACAAAACGACGCATAAAAGAGGCTCACTGACGCGTCGCCGAGGAAACAAATATCTAGCATGCCAAATATCTGGACCGGTCGGCCGACTCGACATCACGTGGTGTCAGGTGTTGTGACGAGCTACAGCCAATGAGAGAGCAAGGCATGGCTTGTGGTCACCGGAAGAAATACAAAAGCAGCAACATGGCTTAAAGAAAAGTTTGGACACAATAAATGGAGCAAAATTTTTCATCAAGCAAACAGCTTGCAGCGCTAATTTCTTCCCGACATCCATTTTCAAATAAACAACTCCTGTTTCACGTCATTCCCGTTCCAATTTTCGCGTGTGTTTTCGTGACATTTACATTTAGTCATTTTGCAGACACTTTTATCCAAAGCGACTTACAATTGGGGAATACATAAAGCGATTCTTCTTAAAGAGGCAGGAAGTGCTTGTAAAACCAAGTTCTAGGCATTGTTCAAATAAGTACAAGCTAGAAAGGGAAGGAATAAATAAAGAGTAAAGAATATATATATATTTTTTTATTTATGATGAAGTCAAGTAGCGTTGAAAGAGATTCAGCATTCCGGATAGGGGTGGGAAGATCATTCCACCAGCCAGGAACGGGTTG